GGAAGTGTGGACAACAGAACATGAGAATACAAAGGAGAAACCCTTCCTGCATCTAACCCCATAAAGCTCTTTTTGTAAAGCGTCTCCAGATGACACTTGTTATGAATGGTGCTTTACAAATAATGATTTAATTGTTTGGAAGGATTTGTTGTAGAATGTAGATACCATCAGTTAGTATCTGTGATTCTTTTGCTTCGAGGGAAAAAAAGTAGTGAAAGAGAAATGTTGGTCTGTAGACCTCTAATAAAATATTGTTTGTGGCTTAAAGGAAAAAAGATCAATTATTTTATGTACACATTTTTCTTGAGGGCAAATGTTCTAAATTATATATCAGAGAAATGTCAAACTTACTGGGAGAGGATATTTGATGAGGTATGGTTGAACCTATAATTCTATTATAGATAATAAATCACAATACTTTCAATTTAAAACCCTGTTCAAAATCTTACCCACAAGAAAAATGCTCTCCATACAGCATTTAGAAAATGATCCAAACCGTCACTTCTAGATGTGGGAGGAAAAAATCTATTCATGTAAAAATTGAGATTCTTATCTTCTGAGATTTTAAATGGATTCATAACTTCCACAAATCCATTTTTTTTGGCTAATCAGTCACTCCCTGCTAAGTGTTAAAGCTATCTCTTTAACTCAGTAGAATGTCAAATAGAGCAAAATGACATTCAGCCGGTCTCACATGGTGACTGGAGTAGATCCTGAAGTATGGACTCTTTAAAAAAAAAAAGAAAGACTTTGAATCCTGACTCCAGACTCGTTTTGAATTGAAAAGAGATTCTCAATGACCCCAAGAATCAAAATCGAAATAATCAGACACCGAAAGGTTTCCAGTCCTATTCGCTTCTGTAAACCTGAAATTGAAGACCTGCTGCACCTTTTCTGGTTTTGTCTACATGTGGGGATTTTTTTGGACGACGCTGAAAAAATGTCTAGCTTCATATGTTTTTATACAAAGCTTCAGCCTTTGAATTGCCCCCTGGGGACAAATAAAGTTTTTTGAATTGAATTGAATATTCACTGTTTTTAACAATGAGCCCTAAAAATTCTACAGTTCACTTAGCAGACTCTTTTATCCAAAGCGACGTACATCAGAGAGTAAGAACAACACAAGCAAGGATCTAGAAAAAAGGGAACAATGTCAGTAAGAGCAAACGATCAGCTTTGAGTCTGATTGGACACACAGGTGCTGACAGGAAGTGACCAGAGGCAAAGCACAACATTGAGGGCAGTTCTTGAGAATTAAAAATAAACTCATGGTAGAGTCTGTGTGTTTGACTTTTTATTTCAGTCCCAGCAGTGAAACTCTGCATCCATACAAACACACACTTAGTGAAAGTGCTGAACAGCATTAATCTGAACACTTTGCAAAAACATCATGAAATAATAACAACCGGCACACTTCAACATGAAAGAGCAGTAGTAACCAAAGGTCAGTGAAACGAGATCACCTGGAGTGATGACCTGACTCGAATGTGTGCAGATGATTTGTAACATCCAGGCAGATGATTTTAAAATGTCGTCTTTATTCAGTAGTTCTTAAAAAACACAAACATACAGCAGGTGACCACGTGCATGCATTCATGTTTTTGATTGTTTTCTGAACGAGTGAACATCAAACTTTGGAACGGGTTTCTATTCTACTTCATTCCTGAAGCATCAAGTGCATAACTCAAAGGTCTGAATGTAATGTGAGACACGGGCGTGTGCAGCACGTCACCCAATCACAGCCCTGCTCTGCAAAACACCACAAAACGTCCCGTCTGCTCCGTGCTGTGGCAGTGCTTTTCTTCTTTCTTTGTTTTTTTATATTCCATCATTTCTGTCTGGGACTTCTCTACTGTCTCTCATGCTTCCTGAGAGCACTCTTTGTTTTTGTTTTTTTTCCTGTCACTCCTTTAACCTGTGGGAGACGATGGCGAGTCCTCTTTTGACGCGTTGCCGATGATCGCCGTCATGCTTTACGTCGGCGTCGGCGTGTAACTGGAGTACAAAGAGGAGGAGGAATCATCCGGGGGAAAAGATACACGGATACATTCAGAAGTATCATGCTAAGGCAGTTTCCCTCGTCTTCAGTTGGCTTGTTGCTGTTTTTTTTTTTGTTTTTAACCTCACGTTGCCTCTTCCTGGTTCAGAGGAGGTCTTTAAACAGTCTTTATATACACACACACACCTTCAGGCGGCGTCGCCCTCGGCACAGCCAGCGGGTCAAAACAGAAACAAAAAAGAACTTATATTCATCTTATCATGTAACCAACACTTCCTGTGGCTGTCTTTTCTCCACATGGACACACTCATGAAGTCATGTTCTCCCTTCCTTTAAAACACCGTCTCTCTGTGTGAAGACGTTTTCATCACAAACCACGATAAACACGTCTCACACTGCGTTAAAAAAGAGAAGCAAAGATCTCATCCTCATGGCTATAAATGTATCAAATATGACTTTTAAAGACCTCGTCGTGGTCTCGAGGTGTTAATGCAGGTTCAATGGTGAGTTAGCTCGTCTGGTTTGTGTCTCTGATGGAGAGAGAAGAAAAGGGGGGTCACAAAGGTCACAGCATTCAGTTCAAGTCTTTGGAGTCAACACTGTTCTCCCGCTCCTTGAAATCAGAGCAAGGGGAAAAAAGAAGTGTGTGTGTTTTTTGGTCCAACAGAAAACATGTTCAGAGTCCCCCGTTTGGGAGGACTAACCCCGCCCCCCTGTTCACGCTCCCGGGGTACCGGCTTGTTGCCCCCCCATGAGAGGGTCCCCGCCCTCCACGCTGTCCAGGGCCGGGTCGGTGTCGTGCTCCGCCGTGATGACGATGGTGTTCTCGTCCACCAGCTCGCACGTCGGGTTGGAGAAGGCAGACAGCGGCAGGGTGATCCTCTGCATCTCGCGCTCGTACACTCGCTGCTCGTGCTGCTTCTTTAAGTCCCGCCCCCTGAAGAGAAACACACAGGAGAGAGTCAGCCAATAAAACCTGATCATTATTATAATAATATGTTTATTTAAGGTAAATGTTCTTGAGCCTGTTAGTTCTTTTCTGGTCTTCTGACTACTCAACGCACTTTCACACCGTCACATTCACACGCTGATGGTAGAGGCTGCTGAGTGAAGTGACCATCACAAGTAATTAACCCATTCATTCACACGCTGGCGACAAAGCAGCAGGAGCAATTCAGGGTTAAGTGTCTTGCCCAAGGACACATCGGACATGTTGCTGCAGGAGCTGAGAGCGGACTCTCCCACCTGAGCCACAGCCGCACCATAACGAGCAATTCCAACCCTACATCTTCATATAATCGGGTACTTTTTTTTGACTACATAGTGATTTAAAGTCCAGCAGCAACTCGATCAACCTCCTTCTACACAGGACAAGTCGATAGCAACAAACTGAGACAAAAAGAAGCGAACCCCTCTGCAGACGTGAGAAAATCTGCAGGATGAAGAAATAAAATAAAAACACAGAAGTCATGCCGGTTGTTATTGTTTGTCCCCGTCTCCTCAGCAGAGATTATGAGAAGAAGAAGAACGTTAAAAGTCAAGTCAACCGCACCTGATATAAAGAGATAAGGAGCTTCAGAGAACATTACTGGATGAAGAAAAAACAGAGTGCATGTGGTATGCAGCAAACACGAGTGACAGATGGTGAAAGGGAACACGGAGCTGAAAAAAGCTGGCAGCCACTTTATCTACTCCAGGTCAACACGGGGGGAGACGGGACGCCGCAGCACGAGGTCACTTTCTACTGACCCGGAGCCAAAACACTAAAACATATTTGGAGTGAAAACACGCCTCCCACCTTCTGCCTGCTTCAGAGCTGCAGATTGTGCAACTCTCTGCTCGGCTGTTTATCACCACCTGCTCTTTACTCGTTAAGGTTGTGGTTCATTTTAGATTCAAGCAAAACGTCCAGAGGATGGCTTCACCTCCACCTACTTCCAGTGTTTGTGCTAAGCTAAGCTAAGCTAAGCTAACTCTTCCTGGATTTAGCTACATATCTTCCAAGCAGGAATTGATCGGGGATTTTAAATTCCATCATTATGCATTTGTTGGGGGGCATCCAAATCACATCACACTCCTTGCAGGTATCTGCAGCTCTTCAGGAGGCTCCTCCTGGTTGAGCCTTTTCCCCGATTTGGGGGAGGGGAGATAGTCTGAAACTCTGCATGCATGAAACTCCTCTGGCTTTGAGAGATGGTGAGTGAAAGGAGTGAATTTCATATATGTTATAGGAGTGTGTGTTCGTTTGTTCGAGGAGTGATTGGCCTGCCGCACACATCACATGACAGATGTTGAGAATAAACCCTCTGACATAATAAACTGCTCCTAATTAATAATCACCTCCTCAAAATAGAAAACAAAGACACGGCACTGCTAATCAGATTGAGCAGATTTAAAGCCCAACACAGAAGCTCAAGGATATTTTTTGCTGTGCTAAAAGGAATCATACCACCCCCCCCCTCCCCTTTTCCTTATTTTGTACATTACATAACCGCATCAAATGTGAGGGCTTCTCTATCCAAACCAACCCCTCCCTCATCCTCGCTCGCTTCCCTCTCAAGAAAATCAAATAAAGATGCTCAAAATAGACGGCAGGACACGGTCCTCCCCCGTGTTCTGTTAGGGCTGTTGTGATGATAACAGAGGTTTTCGTTACGCTCACATCGAGAGGCAGAATGAACAACAGCTGATACCCTGAACTCGAGAGGCCGTTAACATGCAAGCTATCACGTGTTTACCTAATCATACTGGTACTCTTCCTGAGTATCTTACAGCTCTACGCAACAAGAACGGACTTCCGCTTCATTTATTACAGCACATGTGCGTAATTTAATTTTAACATCCTGACAGCAGATAAAATACTGTAAAATAGGTCATTTCCATTAATGATTACAAAAAGTGACTTATATTAATATGGTCGTATCTCGGTCTCCTTCCGTTTGTACAAAAGTGAAGCCAAAATATTCCCGCTACAGGAGCAGACGCGCTGGTGATGCAATTTGGAGCCGATAGTTTCGCAGAAGGGAGCCGGCTGGTGGAGCCGGCTGGTTAGATCGGAATGTGCGACTTTTCAGTAGACGTGGTAGATGCAGAAACTCGTTTTTGTTTTTTTCTACATACAAATCAAGACTCAGAAATATGTTGATGTCAGAAAGATTAGTAGTGAATAGTGAATAGTCCTGATTTTGTTATATTGTCTACATACTGTATGTCCTGTTTTGCTCTATTTTTATGTTTGTATGTCATTTTCAATTGGGGTACATTTTATTTGTGATAGTAAATATTCTTACTTTGTTATTTTTACTGTATTTTATTTTAACTTTGTTTAATCTCTTAAGGTGAGGTTTTGAGATAAGCCCTCATGGGTTTCTACCTCACCAAACATGTGTTTTATTTTTTATTTGTTTTATTTTTCTGTTTGACTTTTATTTCAAAAAATGTGCAAATAAACTAAACTAAACTAAAAGTAAAGCCCGATGCCTGCATCGTTAGTTTTTGTTACGTTTTCTCTCGCCTTCCCTCGTCTACTTTGCCTGAGATCACTACGAAGGAGCCGCATTTGTCAACGCAGCTGTCAATCATGAAGTCACCTCCAGACACTTGGACAAAAATCAGCCTAACATTCGTACAATTGCTGCGCATATTTTTTACTTTGTAGTCCGACTCGTGTCCCGTTTCTTAACACTGAGGAGGCGGGGTTTATGACCTGTACTGCAGCCAGTCAGCAGGGGGAGCTCTAAATATTCCAGCTTCACACCCAGGCGGCTGTTTCACCCGTCCATCTTATTATACAGTCCGCGAAGTGAACCAAAGAATGAATTTTCCGACTCTATCCACTGTCCTGTCTCTCTGATAAAGGCAGAAAACGCCCAAAAAAAAACCTTAAAAAAAAAAGACACTAACCTCTTGTAGAAGTAGCCAACCGTGATGCCCACTCCCAGCATGATTATAATGGCCATCATAGAAATGCCCACCACGTAACCTGAACAGCAAAAAGAGGACACAAACTTTATTTTAAAATGTAGTTAGATATGCAGATGATTGATTTACTTACACTGCAGGGCTGTGTGTGTGTGTGTGTGTGTGTGTGTGTGTGTGTGTGTGTGTGTGTGTGTCACCAACACTGTGTCAACAACTTACCCAGCACGCCGAGGTCTTTCTTCTTCTTTGGTCCCGTGTGCACTCTCTGGCTCATTCCCATCACCGGCTGCACTGCGGCAACCTGTCCCCGAGACGTTCTGGACTTGGCGGGCTTGAGGCTCTCTGTGGAGGGAGCGGTTCCGGTCGGAGATTCGGCCTCAGCGGGCGCAGCGGACGCTTGTTCTACAAGACACGGTGAGCAATTGTTGGTGTTAAACAACAGTGCACATTCATTCATGATCTGGATCAAAATGTTATCCCTAGTCCCTACAGATTTCACTTCATCCATCAGTTCATTAAAAGATCCGACTCCTCTTTACAGTTTTACTTCCTGCTTTAAATATGAGGCCAGGACACATCGGACATGCAGCTGCAGGAGCTGGGGATCAAACCCCCCGACCGACTCTCCAACACTAAACATCGACCACACAATGTTCAAGTCTCTCCGGCACTACACTCAATCATACAGCAGCAGAACATCGGCATCAACCTGCACCAACTCGTCCCTGACTGTCCTCAGAGTCCTCTCCTCTGTCTTACAAACACACCGTACGACTGTTAAGCTGTTTCACATATGAACATTTCTAGAGAATTTCAGGAGGACTGCCCCTGAAATCCTCCTGATCTGTTTGTTTACACAGCGGGGAAACTATCCCGGTCAGAAGGGGGGGGGGGGTCAGAAGGGGGGGGGTCTCCTGAGGCAAGTTAAAAGAATGAGGAAATAGCGGAGTCCTCTATACGGTGCTAAAGAGACAATAATCTGACTGTGTTCTCACATGAAGCTCACCCAGAAAGCTTCAGGAGTTCAACCTTTATTTATACTCCAAAGATCATCGAGGGGCCGACCCTCATTCACAACGACATCGAGTCATTACAGAAAAAATTAGAAAACAGACATTAAATCAAAAAGAAAAAACAGCGGACAGATAATCCAAGACTTCTAAAATCAGATCTAAAATGGATTAAAATAATTAAGCGAGTACAAAACTGCAATAAATAAACACACTTGTGTAAAAACAGTTACAAACAGAGGGTTGGGAGGCTTAAAATCAGATTTCTAAAAATGCCCAAAATGTAAAAAGTTAATTTCCCTCAAAAAGATGCTGCATGTTGTTCCAAGAGTCCAGTGCAGAATAAGAAAAAGCAGATTTTCCCATCTTCCCAGTGTGAAAGAAGTATCCGACACCTACCCTACAGTCATTAATAATATTCATGTAGAAATAATCGATGGGCTCTGTTGCTTCTGCCGGTCATAAAGAGACATCAGTGTTCATTTCAGTCTGTTTGATAACCACTTTTAAACTCCTCATAGCAGCTTTCATTTATTTAGAAGCGTCTGCACTGCCTTAAAGGGATTAATCATTATTACTTTATTATAAACGTGTTCTAACAATGCACTTATACAACTCTTTGACTGGACTGTGTGGTTTCACATTTCCACTGGTGCAACACTCTCCCCATGAGCAGGACGAACGCCTCGACTCTGCTCTCATGAAGCTGTTAGAACGTAAATCAGAGTGAGACGTAAACAGGATCTGCAGGCCGGACTGAGTTTAAGGAGGCAGGAAGGTTCAGGCTGCAGATTTAAACATCTGCTCTGTGAATCTTTTTTTCTTTTTCTTTTTTTTTTCCATCCCCACCATACAGGTTGTTGTTTACGAAGTCTGCTGGAGTTAAAGGGCATGAAGTCATAAATTGAAAACAGCCAATTAGAGGCCGTCTCTAAGGGAAGCAGGTTTTCTCTCTGCCAATGAGCTCTGCTGCGGGGGGCGTGGTTTTAACGTCTTTCTTCAAAATGAACTTTTCCGCCACGTGACTGCAGGGCTTTGTTTTTGTGTGACTTCTTGGGTCAGAGTCAAGAGAGAAACAAAGGAGAGCGAGCTTCTCACGGTGGCTTAACTCTGACCAAGTGACCTGCTCCACACTCACACTGAGACACGGGACAGCTCAACAGGGACCTTCTCTTAGTTTAGTTTATTAGAATCAGGGTCAGTGTACAAAAAACATCTCAGAAGAGGAAAGATGCTTTGACCCAGATTCAGTAAACTACTTTATTTCTGGGCAGATGAAGGCAACAGTAAAAAAACAAAACAGATCAACCGGGACACACACCTAGTCACCCACACACATTTCCTAAGAGACACAGATATTAAAACATTATGCACAAGTTTCCCTGAGTTATAAAAAGTTGTGGAGATGACACATTAATGCTGACTGGTTTATAAAGCCTTGGTCAAAGTAAGATGCTTTGTCAAGTTCCTGCAACAGACTCAGGCACCCTCAGATGAAATCTCACACCCACAAGAATAATACATTTATAAAGATGTTTCTGATTGTCAACGATTTGGAACCTTTTTCTTTGTGTTTTCCAGCTTCAATTTGTGTTCCTTGATGTTTTTTAATAACTTTTATTTAAACATTTCTAATTATTGTTCCTCTTTTTTTTATATTACCTGGTTCCTTAAAATCGTTTTGTTTTTTTCACTTTGTGAGAGAAAGTGTGGACGTTTGTGCAAAGTTTCAGACGAGTTGGATGAGTCAGATTATCCCCATTCTTTAACGGCTTTAAAAGAAAAAGCCGATTGAGTCACATTTAGGGATACAACAATCTCCGCTTGAGGCAGACCTTGAAGCTCAGAGTCGATCTTATGGATGAATAATATTAATAATAAACCTCGGCATGCACAGGGTGTGTTTGTGGTGAAAAAAATCAACAACACTAAAAACCTTTTTTGCAATGAGAACTTTGAATCTGCTCCGACTGTTAAATAAAATATTACTATGTTAATAAAAGTTTGTTTAGAGGTGTGTGGGGGTGTAAACACAGATGTACAGATTTGTATGATTACATATTGTGTATGTTATATTTATATATTCATGGTTGGTATTTAAAAAGATAACTGTTATTTATTATAATCTGAATTAATAATTATCCTTCATTTATGAATTTATGTTTAAAAGAGTCAGAAATCAGGGAGAGAGAGAGAGAGAGAGAGAGAGAGAGAGAGAGAGAGAGAGCGGGGAATGACATGCGGGAAAGAAGCCACAGATCGGATTTGAACCTGGGCCGCCCGCTTGGAGGACTACGGCCTCTGTACAAGGGGTGCGCGCACTAACCACTAGGCCACTAGCGCTCCAGGATGATCCCTGTTTAATGGAAAATGAATAATATCATAATTCTTCAGACTCCTTTTAGGATGTATAAACTCAATTAAACTTCTTTTCTTTCACATCGTTTGTAGAAAGAACATTTCTGTTAAAATGTTTACTTCTGTGTTTTTTATTTTCAAATCAAATCACTTTTAATTTGTTTTGTATTGAACTCATATTGGTGTTCATGCGTCTCCACATCCTTTTATTAACGTCCTCCCTTTTCTGTCAGTCACCTCTTCTCACCCGCTCCTTTGTAAAGCACTTTAAACTGCGGTGCTGTATAAATACAGTCTGATTGATTGATTGATTCATGTTTTGTCTCGTGGGTGTGTGTATATGTGTGTGTGTGTGTGTGTGTGTGTACCTACCTTTGCATAATTCGACTGCACAGAGTTGTCTCTGGATTGTTCCATCTGGGCCGGCGATGTAGCACCAAGGCTTCTCGGAGGAGTCGGGGTTTCGGCAGTAGTTGTGATCTCCAACACCTACAGGAGGAAGGAGGAGGAAAAATGAGAGAACCACTTCTGATATGTGTGTGTGTGTGTGTGTGTGTATGTGTGTGTGTGTGTGTGTGTGTGTGCTGCTGTCTGAATAAACCACTGGATTCATGAATCATTAACACTGCTTCATCACAGCACAATGAGCAGGCCGCCAGCAGCACAAAGAAAGGAAATGGCAGAGGAGAAACCATCTAACACTTTGAGCAGAAGAATCAGTGACATACAGGCGCTGAAGTGAGCGCTGCAAACATCACCCCAGTGTCTGTTTTTCTGCACGATGTGAGGATTACCCACAATCCTGAGGAAGGCAGCATTTTTACACAGAGAAGATGAACAACAACACCTGAAATCCACTTTACTGTGCATGAAAAAGCCAATTTAAGTCATTTACCTGTCTGTGAATCAGGATGAACGTTCACATCGTAGTCTCTGGTGGAGTTAGTCCAGTTGAGGCAGGTCAGACCTGAGGAGGAGCTCTGGTGTCCCCCTCTGTACTCCACACCACTGGATGTCATGCAGTCTGGAGATAAAACAAACACACAACATGTGAGCACAAACACACGAGAAAGGACCATCATTAAATATGTTAAACAAGCTTGAAAAACTAAAGATGAGATGTGTAACTTACCTGTTCGACTTCCATTTGATGCACTGCTCTCCACAGCCACCACGCTCACAAACACAACGTGCAGAGAGAGGAACATTCTGCACAGCTGACGGCCTGAAATCACCGACAACATGGTGCCTTGATTAGTCTAAAACAAATTGAGGGAAACGTGTAGAAAATGGACGAAGAGCCTGTGCTGAATGTGCATCAGTCACACTGCTCCTGCCTTCATGGAGTCCACAGCCCTTGTTTTTGTCAGACGAGCTCAGCTTTCTTGGTAAACAGCCTTCAGAGGGAGGAGGAGAGGAGAGGAGAGGAGGAGCTGCCCTTTGCAGCACAACCCTCCTGGTCCTAAACACTCACCAGGTTCGCTCAGAAAAACACGCACAAGATCACGAGATGAAGGAAAAATAAGTCTGGATTGTTTTTTTTTTTGGCATGCAGTCAGGTGTGGAAGCAACACAGCAGCAAAACGGTCTGCATCACATTTCCTTTGAGCTGCAAACAAAAAGCTTTTAATTAGTTTCCTTCTCAAACTTTGTCCTCATCCTAATCCAACAATAGCGTCCAGGTTTGTTGTGTTTCTGTGGGTGTCTTCTATTTTGAGTTTAAACACACTGAGGTATTACTTTCTATTTCTAACGACCATCCATCCATCTGAGCAGGGGTGTGTCCGGGGGGTGGCCAGGGGTGGCATGACCCCCCCTTTGATTAGCCACCTCAGTTGACAACTAAAAAAATCCTAAACAGTGATTGGCTATGTGCCATGTCAGAGGCGGGGCTTATGTCTTTGTGTGACACAACCCTTCAAGTAACTTGAGGTCATGTTTTTCTTTTCATTTGTTTGTTTTACTTTGTACTCACCCGTTTACATCCTGCTCCCTTTCTTTTCCCACCTTGTAAGAATGTAAAGAATACGATGCCCGACTTGCCAACTTTGTTAAAGTTAAAATACTTTTTATTAGTTCCCGTGTTGTACATCTCTAGTACAACTCAAATATATAACTTGTAACAGAGACATTCCACAATTATTCTTTGTTGCAGCCACACTGTTGTCACCACATTCAGACTTTACAAACTGAAATCACATGAACACACTGAAGTCAGAACAACGACTTTCCAACTCGGAAACTGGGACCATCCAAGGAGCACATGAAAGCAGCATTACTCGCCTCCTGTCGCCTCGTTGCAGCCTTTTCTACTTGGGAGTCTTCCAGTGTTTTTTTTACCTTTACCTGCCCGTATTGGATTTGTTTGCAGCGCTGACAGCTTACCTGTGTACTGACCTGGAAAACTTTTTACTGAACTCTAATCTTAAAACTTCTTCACATACAATTTTGATAAAATTCCTTCCTCTGACATTTCAAGTCTTGGAACTGGGGACTTCTTGTGTTTCATGTCTTTGACAGGAACTAGAAATTTTGATTTTTGGAGATAGGATGTGAAATGAAGTGGGCCTAGCTTATGTCCCTGTTGCATACCTTTTTAGTCATTTGTGCTGTTGGAAAGCATGTGCTGAATGAAAAGTCAGTTTTTGTTTTTTTTGTCATTTAGGGTTAGGGTCTCAGTTTTGGGTCAGTTTTTTTGGCTATTTAGCAACCGTAGACTAAAAGAAATGGAAGTAGTCTCATGGACATCAGGAATCGGTTTCTACACGCCCCTGCATCTGATCAGTCTCATCTGGCTCTGAGTGCCTCGTACATGTGTTTAATCTCAATCTTTCTGTATCCCAGATTTCCTCTCCGCACCACGAGTCCTGTTTGTCAGCTGGAAACATACAGAGGCTGATAAAGGGCAGCTGCCAACACTATTGCAGAGCTGCAGGGAGGCCCTGTGTCATTGTTGGCTGACTGTTAAAAGAGGGCAGCCAGCCCCTGACTCAGTCAATGTTCACTGTTCAAATAAAATGCTTACCCAGTTTTCAGGCAATTACCAGAGCAAACACATAGCATCTGTCCGCCACTCTCCAGCACACTCTGCTCATTCAAGCTCTCATACATGAGCGTCCCCCAGCATGCACTGGGTTTCAAAATAGATGGTGTCTTTGGTGTCCTGGTTAAATCATGAAAACAAAGGAAACAAACAGCTGCGAATATAAAGGTCCTGTAAGCAGATTTTAAAACACTTTTAAAAACATGTACGGCAAAGTACAGAGATAAAGAGGTATGACTTTGTCCACAGGGGGCGCCAAATTCGACACAAATCAGAAGTTCCCCATAGGAGCTGTAGACTGTAAATATCAGTCAACCTAACGACAGGCTGAGAGCCGGAGCTGAGGCGGGTTTTAAGCCTCTTGACAAACCGTTACACATCCGACTTTGCATAACACGTATCGTTCATCAAATCAAAACGGATGTGTTTTAAAAAATATGCATCCCTTGTAGTGTGACTAGTCTCGACAAACTGCAGGATTTTGCACATCGCCATTGTCTTCATGTTTCAACAGATTGCAGCTTGTTTCAGATACTAATGTTCCACCTGCTTATTTCAAATAGAGAGGGATTAAGTCAGAATCTTTGCTTTATTTATGTCTGAGAGAGGCCGGTTGTCCAAGCTGTTAGGCAGGAGGAATTCTGAGAAAAAAAAAAATCATAACTATAAAGGCCCTAAACCTCTTTCGTGCATCCATACATTTCATTAACTCAGTTTTCCGAAGATAAAAAGTTATAGTTTCAGTTGTTTTCTCGAGATCTCAACTTGTTTTTATTTTCCTCTTGGGTCAAAGGTTTTTTTTCCTAATAGCATATGCTTTTATCTCATTATCACAAGATACCAGAGCTTGTTTTCTCATGAAAGGATCAAAACAACAGGTTTGTGCCTGTGAAAGGTCAGACTATAACATACCATGCTCCCATTAAGTTATGTTTGTTCTGAGCTTTAGCAACTTTTAGGATAAGAGATAAATAAGTTGAGATGAGGAACACAACCAGGAATGACTCATTATCACAGGAAAACTGAGTAAATGAAATGTATTAATACATGTCTTTTAAGGTAGGTTTTCACATAATATGATGCTGGTTCTTCTTCAGTTAGGCAATACGTTCAAGGAGAAAGTGCTTAAATGTGCATGCCCAGCCTTTAAAATGGTTTTTAAAAGAACCAATCATACAAAGACAATAATGCAACTTTACCACTTTAGGAAAACAGAACAATGAGACATCTGATGAAGCCTTTATTCTGTCTTCTGTTTGATTCATTGAGACATTTGAAGAATAAAAACATTCGACTTTGGCCGTTTTTAACCTGAAAAAGTAGAATCCAAAGTCTGAAGGTGAAACAACACTGTCATGCTCCAGATGACACACACACACAGAGTCACATAGTGAAAGTAAAAGTGGTTGTTGGCCTTGTTTCCTGTCGCTGCAGTTGCTCTTTAATGAGCAGGATGCAGGCTGGAGCAGAGCACAGACTCTCTGAACTTGAACAATAGCAGATGGCAGTTTTCCAGTTTTATAGGCCTACTAACTTGAGGACATGTCCAACCTTGATTTTTTTTAACTCACTTTACAAACATTGTTCTCAAGGTTGAGGCAGAAGACACAACACCGCTCACACTGATAAACTGTCTGCAGCTCCATGTTTCTTTTTTTTTCTCTGACTTAAAACAGAGCAGAGATAATGTCACAGTGTCACAGGCAGAGACAGGCAACTGCTTGGGGCCCAAGACATGTAGGGGGGCCCCAGAGTGCTGACAAAATTGAACCTAAAGAAGTGACACATAATGAGATAAATTTTGCCCCAACTGACATCATTCACTCTCATTGCCCTGATGAACGCTGGTTGTTCATTACCACCTGCAACTTTCTTTAAAGTTTGAATCTCATAGCAGCACGCCAGGTGTTCATGTTGCCGTGGGTCTTAGGGAAATTAACTTCATCGGCTTAATGTATGAATCATTAACACGAGCTCGATGTCGAAGCTGTTGCATAATGCAGATTAGAGCACCAGCACAATGCTTCATGCATACACAATGGAAACACTGACAGAAATAGAGGAGCCTTATGCAACTACAGGGGTTTGTGTTCAAGTGAATAAGTGTGACTCTGCAAGTTTACAGTCAGCCTTCATCAAAGCACATCTCAAGTTTGAAGGACGCAACAATAAAAGCTGTCATGTATAGTTAATAAGAAGGTAGTGTCAGGTCAGTGTTTGTTCAATACTGAGAGCCGCCCGTCTCAAACAAAAGCAGAGAGCTCTGCGATGATGTAAGACTGCTGTAGTGCGCGCTCAGTTGCGAGGGGCAACAATCGGCTCCCCATCAGACATCATCTTCAGCCCACATGTGGTTGGAAAATGGACACTTAAGCGGTTAGACTGCCTCTAATGGAGCACTAAAACATACACCATATTCCCCTGCTGGACAGCTTCTCCTGACACTGTTAGGATGACATCACTACATCAGTCTGAGCCGAGCCGCCGCCGCCGCCGCCGCCGCTGCAAACAAACAACTGAGCAGAGAGTTAGAGCGAGGACTTCACTTTTAGGATGGTGTTGTGTGCTTGGGCAAAACACTTATCCCCAAGTTGCTCCTGCTGCTTCGTTGGCGGCGTGTATGAATGTGATGAGTTACTTCTGATGGTCACTTTACTCAGCAGCCTCTGCCGTAAGTGTGTGCATGTGTAGGTGTGCCCTGTGGTGTGAAAGCACTTTGAGTCCCCATTTCCTCAAAAGTAGGGAGGTTGTGTCAAAAAACTATAACATCCCTTTGTTTAATTAATGAACAAAGAGAACATTTTAAATACTAAAGCAGAGTCATTTCATACTCGCCCATTTTTTTTTTTTCCTGAGGTCTGAAAAGTCAAAATGTAAAATTCTGTTTGGAAATAATGGGACGTTGTGTCCTCAGGGCTAAAGAGGAGAGGGACCATCCAGCTTCTGTTTAGTGCACAGATCTTAAGCCAGCCTCTGTGATGATACAGGGTAACCTGCACATTTGTGAAGGAACCATTAATGCCAAACCACATACACAGGTTTTGGAGCATCAAGACAATTCTGGTCGTATCACAACATGGCTTCATAGTAAAAAAGTCTGGGTGAAAAACTGGCCTTCCTGCAGTCCCTACTGGTCATCTACTGTACTGAAAATGAACAGCTGAATTCCTACATTTAAAGGTCTCATATTGTGTAAAATATTAGGAGAGAAGTCCATCCTCTCCGTCTTCTGCCTGCTCCACTTTTCAGAAAATGTGTGCTCAAACAGGCCGTTTGGAGATTTTCCCTTCATGACATCACAAAGGGCAGTAGCCCCTCCCCCAGGTGGGTGACACTCCCACAACTAGGTGTTTGTTCTGCCCTGAGTCTGCCTTCTCACTGTAAACAATAGGACATGGAGCGAGAAAGTACAGAGTACACCCAAGCCCTTCCAGAGAGGGGGCGTGATCAGACACAGCTCATTTACATATTTAAAGGTACAGACACAGAAACAGCCTGTTCTGAGCAGGGCTGAAATAGAGGGGTTTATAGACATGATCAAATACAGGATCAGAGTGGATTTAGAACAAGAAACTTCACACACATGTTCTGAGGAGCTCTGAGACTCATTTAAACTTGTTAAAAAAGGAGATGAATAGGTGACCTTAAAGCAAGAATGGTAAAACATTCAACTTTCAACATGACAGAAACTGGTCTCCTCAGAGTGTTATTTCAACTCTTGTACAAAAACATTGTAAAAAAGAACAGGCATCAGGAGCTGATGAGACACTCCTGATGTGCTGCACTATGCACCCCTTCACTAAAGGTAATATGATAACAAACGCATCTGACTGCAGCCTCTCTGCTCAGCCAGCCTGCAAAGTGCTGGTGTGCTGCAGCATCAGCAGGTTGGATACCAACTGAAGAATAAGGCTGCACTTGAAGATGTCAGAAGTATTTCTTGTCATATCCACAGGTCACTTCACCCGGCAGTGCACTGCACGGTAACAAGGCTGTCACAGTGGAAGCTCTCCAGACACAGCAGCCGTTAAAGCGGCGGGAAAGCGGACACCGCTCTGACTGAGGAGGCTGCAAACGTCCTGCACGCTCCTGTGCAGGGATGAAGGCTCACAGAGGTGGCGGACATCGTCTGATGTTCTCAACAGCTGGAGGAGAAAGGCGGCTCTGGTGAGGAGGCCACACAAGGCGATGTGGAATCGGGGATCCCTGAGGCGGGCCAGCCACACCGGGGTCAAAGTCTCGGCTAGAGAGAGAACAGAGAATGGCACTGTGATGCTGTTTCATACAAACACAAAACTCCTGAACATTTCTAAAAACCTTTTTTTAACCCCAACTTTATCCAGAACTACTCCTACTAGCCCCCTAGTGAAATCCCCCTGTGACGTTGGGGTGAGCTGATGTGTGAACGCCGCAGGAAATATTCAGGAAAATTCACTGTTAGCCAGTGGGGGTTATGACATTTTTGGGAAGCTGCTTCATACTCTTTTCTGCTTGCAAATGTGATCTTTTCCACTCATTTGTTGACACTCTGAATAAACTATCATTATAGCCTTGCTTCATCTAACATTTCTGCTTCATCATTCTTACGGCATGTCCTGAAAACTTCTCCGCTTTGAGGTGCGTATGTGAACAGGTAGGTGAGGCAGATTTCAGCGGGCAGTCTTAACAGCTTAACACAGACGGTTTGTACGTCAGATATTATTCTCATATCATTAGTGACAGGTTAATGTGGTACCTGGCTGCAGCTCTCTGCACACTCTGAGTCCGTCTAGCACCTGTGCAGCATTATCCTCCGCCCATGATCTCTGACTCTGTGCCAGGGCGGAGGATTTGGAGTATTTTCCCGCCATCTGCAGCAGGTGAGGCAGCACACGTGCGGACATGACGGAGGGCTCTGCGAACACATTGGCCTCGTCCTGCTCGTACAGGCTGGAACATCTGGATGAGACAGAAACGATAACAGTGAGCCACAATTCAGTCGAGGCTTCTCTGCTGGTACGAGTGTATCGTTCCCCCGTAGGAGGTCACATACGTGGTCTCTGAGGCCTCCTTCAGCACAGATCTGAGGTCAGGCTGGGGCAGGTGACACAGCAGCACCTCCAGCGTGCCGGGGGTGTCCCAGAATTCCTCCAGCAGCAGGTCCAGCAGGAGCGGCAGAGCCTGGTTCACCTGCATGACGTAGACGCTCCTCTGGGGTTCCCCTCGTCTCACATGGTGCAGAGTGGAGGTAAAACAGGCCGCTTTCATCCTCACCTGCTGGCTCTGGTCCTGCAGCAGGTACAGGCCTGTGTTGATCAACCTGAAGCGGAAAGACTCAACAGTTTTTTATTCATGCTCATCAGAGTGTAACTTTCGACTGAACTGGATTTGACTTCCCCTCTGTACCTGATCATGACGACAGGCGGGGTGCCGTCTTCTCTCCCTGCTGCCGCACACAGAGCTTCAGCACACGCTAACCTGAGCACCTCGGGGGCGTCGGGGCACCGCTGGATTTCCAGGATGCTGCACCAGCGCCGGAGCACGGCTGTCTTTCGACTTACGAGCATAAAGAGAAAGAAGACAAGTCAGAGCTGCGGCGGAGAGAGGTGACCAGAGGTCGCTCAAAAGACGATAAAACGTGTCAAAACCTGGAGTGTGGCAGCCGGGAGAGCAGCAGACTCGCAGCACTCAGAGCCTGAGACAGAAGCTCCGGGCCTCCACGCTGCTCCTCCAAGTCGCCCAGCAACAAGTCCACACACTCAGGAAGGACGGGATCCTCCAGCGGGGCGGACTGAGGACGACGATGATGAGAGGAAGTGGAATCCCCTTTAACCATCGCAGTCACCAGGGCTTCGAGGAAGGTCCTGCGGTACTCCACATTTTGGCTCAGCAGCGCCCCCCTCAGGTTCGACTAGAATAAAAGGGACATTTACAAAAACTCATGAGTGGAGAGCTGAGTAGGGCTGTCATGATACCACATTTTTAAACTTGGATACTAAAAAGAAATCGAACAAATCAACAAGAAAACAGAAGTCCTAAGCGACCAGCACAGGGCAATTCCTTGTTTTAATTATCTAAAGCTGCACGAAAACTCCTGCACACAAAATTGCACAAACACATTGGAAACGTGTGCAGGTGTTTGCATGCGCAAGGCAAGTTTATTTATTTAGCACATTTCAGCAATAAGGCGATTCAAAGTGCTTCAGACCCAACATCAAAAACATCCTGACAAAGAGAAAAAGACAGATTTAAAAATAACAATCGGAGAGGAGAGGAGATTAAATGTAAAAAATGTAAATACAAATAAAGAAATAAATAAAAAAGATCCTAAAGAAATACAGAAATATGTGATTAAGGGAAAATAAGACATTAAAATAGAAAATATACACACCATATTGTGTTGTGTCTGTCAATAATAGTGAACGATTCCTGGAAGTAATTTGTTGTTCAGTTTGTTCGGTCTGTGTCGAGTCACAGCTCACAGGCTGGCTCACCAAGCAGCAAAAAGAAACATCCGGCATCAAACAGCATTAAAGACTGTCTTTGGTTTTATTTTATGTACTACTGTAGGAAATCTTTTTTTTCTATTTGAAAATGTATCTTTGGCCAGACGCTGATTTCCTGATGAAACCTCATAACATGTTTCTAGCACTGAGTGTTAATCCATGTAGACTGGGTTCAAAATGACTGAATCAGGTTGAAGATGTGCAGGTAAATAAATGACTCCATGAACAGTAGTCTCCAGATAAGCAGCGTCACATATCATTAAGACAGATTCTAAAGAAATCAAGTAAAGTGCTTTGAGCTTATCTAAATCACCTCCATGAACAGCAGGTAATAAAAGGGCAGATTATCTAGAGGTAATACAGAACATGATACCTTATAAACACTCTGTTTGTGATGTCAGAGGGAGTTAAAAGATCTCCAATCAGATCTCAGCCTGAGGTTGGATTTAGTTTGAGTCCCTCACGTTGTGCTCTGAGCTGGACGTTTTTCAGAAAGCAGTCAGACCGGTTTTTTTCAAAGGTTGTTTTTCCTCTCTCTGAAAGTCTGGGGAGCGGGGTCATGTCTCACCTGTAACACCCTCTGGATCACCTCATTCAAGCTGGATTCCTGCAAGCCCCGCCCATCCACCACCACCACTGACGCGGCCAATGAGAGCCGCAGATCGAGGCTCAGGGCGCTGAAGCTGCCCCAGATTTGACACGCCCACTTCTCATCTGTGCACAGGAAGTGGATGGCTTGTTGATGGAAAGATGACAACCCAACCTGTTAAAAAGAACACAAACAAAGCACGAGAAGTTTCTCAAACAAAGCACGACGGGGTCCTGCATGAAGGTATATTTTTGCTCAAGTTGTCACAGCTTGGATTCAGTCCTTCAGGGATCTTTTTTACATTTCACCCGTTACCTTTTCTTTTATAGTTATTAAATGGTTTTAGCTCCTTTCACTCATGCACTCCTGAATATTTCTAGAAAGATGTCGCGACAGGCTACCTCTAAAGTTTCCCTGTTTTTTCTGTTTCATCAGACGGGAGGAGAGTTCTCAGGAGGCAGGAAATGAAGTGAAAAAGGACGATCACAGTGTCGTTTTTATGACATGTCAAAGATGGCGGGCGGAGCAACAGAGTCAGTGCTACATGTAACTGGAGAGTCACACACCTGAAGCTGCTGTTGAGGTTTCTGGAGGTCGTGCATTAGAGATTCGCTGAGCTTTGACAGGAAGGTCTCGCAGCAGTATTCTCTCAGCGACTCTGCCACGCCGAGGTAAGCCGCTCTCACTAGGGGGCACCGCTGAGCTTCGGTGACCAGCCACAGCGCGGCCTCCACCCTGCTCAGCACCTCCCGCAGGTCAGCCGAGGGGACACTGGGAACCGAGTGAAACCACAGACGTGACAGCAGTCTGATGAAAACTGAATAAAAGCACTAAGTCTAAGACACAAAGTCTCACCTGTGTGCGCACAGAGCTCTGTCTAACACCGCTCGGACCTGCAGCAGCTGTCCGTGGAGACGGTTGTGACGGCGGCGCTCCTGCAGACCGGGCAGCTGAGCGGTGAGTTCGAGGAGGATGCTCGTGTACTCTGAGGGGGGAGTCATGGCGACCAGCGCCTTGGAGGCCATCACTCTCACACTGTGAATGGGGCTGGCAGAAAGCTGGAGTAAAGGAGGCAGGAAGTCTGACAGAGATCTGGCATGAGAGAGAAAAAACAAAAAAAAAAAAACAGAAATGATGTTCAATAAGTTCAGTAGAGTTCATTCACATCCTCTTTGTACAGATATAGCATCAAATACCACATGATTCAGCAGGATGCATTCTTGCAGAGTCACAGATACCGCTCTTTATCTACCGGCTAAATATTAAACTTCTGCGGGCAGCATGAGACGTGAAATGAGGAGAAACAATAAGCTCTGCCAAAAGGTGACAAAATCCACCTTCAGCACCTCAGAGGCCGACGCCATGAGCCCAGAATTTATAACTTGATATGATTCTAGTAAGAATCTAAAGGATATCGATACTTAGTCCAAAGTAGAAGTCTCATTTTCTTATTTGAAATGTTCACCAGCAAAGGAGAGTAAAAGAGTCAATGATTTTTCTGATTATACACAGATGATAAACCTGGTGTGTATATTAATAATGATTGTTCAGACAGTCTAGGATGAGTCAATTACTCGGTCGAGTCGTGGACACCGGGCTGGAGTTGGGCTAACAAGGTGAGGACCGGGAAGAGCGAGGGTTGGAGGTGAAGCCTGGCCTCGTTGGAGGGACCCTGCAGGTCTTTGGCCGCCCCCTTCAGCTCGCCCAGGAGGAAGGGCTGGAGTGACGGGTAGTGGAGGAAGAAGGCGAGTGGAGACATGCCGTTCTGAGCAGGGGCCCCCTCTTCACTGCTGGGACGCTGGCCGAGCATCCGGGAGCACAGAGAACCTGAAAACAGATTTTTGTTTTTGTAATGACTGAGGGGAAACAGCAGCTGAGTAAAGCTTAAAGTAATGTGTCTGTCTGTGTTCTTACTGTACAGCTGCAGAGCTGCGTTCCTCATGGCCCAGCACGGAGAGCTGAGCAGAGTGAGCGACAGGACGGCCACTGACGGAGCAAACTGAAGGACAGCCGCTCCCAGACCTGAACCCCGCACCAGGGCCTGCAGAGTGTGAACCGCGCACACCTGCAGCGGGAAAGGACAATCATGTCAGCACATTATAGTCTTCACAGTTATAAAGAACAATAAATCTTTTTGCTGTCGCTGCAAACCTGCGGCAGGTCCACAGTTTGGTCCCAGTTCTCCGGCACTGCGGTTCTTGCTGTCTCCAGTAAGGCGTGCACACTGTGGGCTAACAGGGGTCGTGATTTACTGGCCTCCTCCGCTGATAAAACACACAGGATGAGCATGGGCAGCCCTGCAGCCCGCCGAGTCACAGAGGTCGAACGAGGGGACTGCACAACCTGCAATCCCTGAAAAGAGACAGAAGAAGAAATCTGTGAGACAGTCCGGCTGCTCCATGTTTTATTAAAAACATATAAAGTCAACACTCACTTGTTTCAACATGTGAGCTGGGATATCCCTCAGCTCTGCATCGCTGCTGCTCAACAGAGAGGCACAGAACCTGGTGAAGCCCACACAGCATCCCTCTACCGCCCCCTGGTGACAGGAAACATTTTACAGGAAAAGAACTTCAGATTTGAGATTTGAATGTCTCTTAAAAAAAACATACATCTTACCCAGTGTCTGCATTTAAGAAGAATATTCTTGAACACTCTTGATGCTCTCATTAGATCTTCTTTTGTCAGAGGACACTGGTCGGGTTTGGATTCGGCCCGAATTTTCTCCACCAGAGATCCTAAGAAGATTCCGATCTCCTGAAAGGGAAACGTGAAACCAAAGTACACGAGTCACGTTAACTCTTTTTTATATATATCACAAGTAAAGACAGTCGAGGTTGAGCAAAGTGCTTTACAGAATAATAAAGGTACTGCAAGAAAACAACAATACACGATCCATCACAAGGTCAAAGTCCAGGGCAGCTACAGCAAAGGCTCGGTTGCTTGCTGTTTCTTTTTTTTTTCTTTTTTTTTTTTAGAGGTACGTCCAGGAGCAGCTGGTTTGTTGACCGCGGTGCTCTAGCTGGAGTGTGAACATGGAGAAGTCCAGCGAGGTCAGGTGGTGCCAAACTAATCAGAGCTTTAAAAGTCAACAACAACATTTTAAAATCGATCCTGTGACGGAGAGGAAACCAGTGTAGTGAGAGCAAACACGAGGTAATGTGGTCCCTCTGTGTCCTTCCTGTCAGGAGGCGAGCAGCCGCGGTTTGTACCAGCTGCAGGCGATGACTGCTTCAGACCCGAGTACAAAGAATTGAAATAATCAAGGTCGTACCTTGAGTGAGACCCAGCAGCAGGTGAGAACGAGGCTGTGCTCCTCAGTCAGCAGGACCATCTCCTCTCCGTCCGCTTGGCCTCCTCCAGACGCCTGCCCTATCAGAGAGCTGATGGCGTTCCCCATATCGTAAAAAGAAGGCGGGGCATCTAAGACAGAAAAGAACCACCAATCACTGAGCAGCGTCATGACTAATCTGTCATGCTGTGTACTTAAATCTCGGTGAGTAACTTTCTGCCCGGGTTGATTTTCATAACACCATAAAAACCTCATGACAGGAGCTGTAAAGCCGGGTTCACAGTGTGTTTCTACTGGTTGCTAGGTTACCTGTTTCAGTAGCACAAGCGTCCAGGTCTCCGTACAGAACGCCCAGCAGCAGCAGAGAGATTCTCTCCATCACGCTCAGCACCTTAAAGATCAGACCGTGGCCGACTGTTTCAAAAACACCGCCGGTCGCTTCAAGCAAACACCTCTGGAGGGCGCTCAGCACACCTGGAACATCATCAGTGACAGGATTTTAAAAAAAAGAGATGAACAACATTTCTTGTAGGCAGAAATGTTTAACATCTGTAGTGGTCACCATGAATGGGCTTGGTTTTGGCAGCGAGCATCATGTCAGCTTTGGCTGTCAGATAATGTTCCTCCAGCTCCGTCACCAGGGATTGGATCATGCAGGAGGCCTCGGGGTCACGCCCCCTGCTGACGGATGTGTCGCTGTGCAGCCTGGAGTCCTCTGGGTGCTCCTGTGATCTACACAAAATGTTATCTGTTCATCCATAATTCTGAACGAGGGTATGTAGGGAGTAAGGTTGACAAAAGTGTCGATACTTTCTGATACAACCTAAATTAAAACAACACAGTCTCTGTTGTTATAATGATCTTAAGTATCTAAAAGTACTACGACAGATCTTCAGACATCTTTGAACCCAAAACTGACACATGCTAAAGAGGTGAGAGCAGCTGGAGTCCATTCAGATTTACATTTCAGTAAATACTGATGATTCTCCAGAGAGCTTTGAGAAGGTGACAGCAGACTCTAAATCACACAAACACATCGGCAACATCTGGTGCCGTGAGACCAAGTTTTCTTGCAATTTTTTAGTGGTTAAAAACAAGAACCTTTTTAATACTCCGTGCCCTGTAGGAGCCATAAACAGACGTTACCTGTATCTTCTGTTTCATGGTCTGTTTACTGCTTTATTCATTGTGCACGGTCCTTGTTATTATTATTGGTCACCTGCTCACATGGTGTTTGTTTGGTTTGGAAGGAGAGAGAGGGTGAAACCACACTACAGCACACTGCGATCACACTCTGCTTTTACAATCCCATACCTGGTATCAGTTTTTTTTCTTGTTTGTGGAAGAAGAAAAGTTTAAAGAATAACTTGAGAGATGTTGACAGCGCGTCAGTGTTTGTTTTCCCCGTTGTTTAGTCTCTAGTTGTGCTCTTTTTTTTTTTTTTACAGCCACACAGGGCCGACAGCTGCAACAGTGTCAGGGACGTGTTTTCCTGTCTGTGTGGTTTTGAAATATGTATCGATATCACTTGAATTTTACTCGTATCGTCTCAAGTTTCAAACTCTCTGGTGTCGTGGAAACCCTTGTGTGGAGTCGGCTCACTTGTGAAGAAGGACCTTCATCATCAGCGCTCCCGTCTGAGCCTCCTGCACCCGAGGGCTGCACAGCAGCCGATTGGTTCTCGTGAGCAGCGCTGCAGCGATGTCGCGTGGGAAACTGCGAGGGAAGAATCTCAACAATAATCCAGCTGAGAGCTCCCGAATCTGTAGAAAGAAAAGATTGTCCCGTTACCACTCTGTGAAAAATGTTCGATTTAGTAACCACATGAAAGAAACACGAGAGGAGTCGAGGCAGCTCTACCTCGTTGGTTGAATCCTCTAAACAGCCGATAAGGACCAGCTGTTTGGTCCTGCAGCTGAAATCCCACAATCCTCTCTGTCTCGCACAGCTTATTAGAGACCCCATGTTGGCTGTGAAAACGATTTTAAGAGGTTCATTATCATTCAAACAAAAATTAAAAGAGAAAAAATTCAGTCCTAAGCACCAGAGATTTGGGTTTCTTTACAACTGTTTAAAGGTCACACATCATGAAAAATCCACTTCACCATGTTCCTCTAACTCCAACATGTGTCCCTAGTCTGTCTACAAACCCCCCAATGATGAGAAAACTCCATCCTCAGCGTCTTCTGCCTGCTCCACTTATCAAGAAACTGTGTGTTCAAACAGGCCGTTTGGAGATTTTCCCCTCGTGACATCACAAAGGGCAGTAACCCCTCCCCCCAGGTGGATGATCTTCCGGAGCTGTAAACCATTAGCCTTTATCTATCTAAGAGCTGTTTGTCCAGTCTGACCTGGAGGTTGTCCCTTCTTCTTGTCGGGGCTCCAGCTGTCTGTGCAGGTCTCCAGCACGGCCGACAGCACGAGTAACGCAGTCTTCTTCCTCTGGTAGCTGAGTCCTGGTGCCAGGTTAGAGTACGGAAGCTGACCCAACCACTCCACAAACTCTGCAGGTCAAAGAGACGGCTTTTTAATGAGCAGGAAATAGAAAGAAGATGACTAAGACAACCTTCAAAAAGACTGAACTTTCAATAAAAACAACGGTACCACTACCTCAGAAACATGGTTCATTCATTTTTAGTGATTATTATTAATGTTTATTATTTGAGTACATTGTTTTCACTAATTAGTTGCTTGTTTTTCAAAGTGTTTAAGTTTGAAATAATCACGTTATCCATAAATTGTAAAATCACTGAGTAATCATATTTAATAAGCGTGATCTCAGTATCTATCAAATTAATCCCGATCATAATAATCAAGCAGCCATAGTTCAAAGTGACCTCATCACTCTGCCCGCTCACTGGGGTGAATGTTTCAGACTTTATCTGAAGTTCATAATGAGCATAATGCGAGCAGGAAAATGCCTGCGTGGGATTTAAACATGCAACACACTCACAATGACCGGAATTTTTCAGGAGTGCAGTGCATGTGTGAAAGTCTTTTCCACTAAATTAAAGATATTACCGGTTAGTCTATTTCTTTTTTAAGGTTTATTTTTGGGGTTTTATTTCAGAGACAGTCAAAAACCCAGAGAGCGTGGGGAAAGACATGCGGTTAAGGAGCCACAGGTTGAGCAGGGGGGGCGTGCACACTAAGTTACAAGCACCCCAAGTGTCTATATCCTTTGAAATCATTAGTCACTTTATCACTGTACATAAAAAAAACTCAATGATCTGCAACCAACAGGAGATCTATCTATCTATATCTATATATCTCTCTATATATCTATATCTATCCATCACATTGTAGGATAGCTAGAATGATAAAGTGGGGTATCTCACCGATCCCCTGCTGCAGTATGTCATCTGTTCTCTCGGTGTAGTTTGCGTCTCCTTTCTTTTTCTTCTTCTGTCCTCTGACGCGAGCCAAGCAGCCGTCTCTGATACGAACCAGAAACTTCTTAATCCCGGCCTGAAAGTGTTGGCGAAAAGGCGAGGACTCACAGTTCAGATTGTGAGGGATGAACCTCCTCATCGTTTCCATCTCCTCTGCGCTCGGAGCGTCTCTAGTCTTCGGGCTGCAGCAGACGAGGTTCAGAGCGGCGAGGCGGACTTTGTCATCCGCAGAGCCGAGAGCCAGCCGGAGGGTCTGGAGGGTCGAGCTCCCCTGCAGAGCCCAGGGAGAGCCTCCTGTCACGCCTCGGTACGAGCTGAGGACGCAGGCCCAGGCGTGGAGGTGACCGGGAGAGAGCGGGTCCAGAGAGGCCAGGAGAGGATCCACGGCGGAGGGGAAGACCTGAAAGGTGCAGGGTAACAGGTGTGTGGAGCCGTTGTTCTGGAGAAGAGTCACATCAGACGTCAGAGCCTCGTGGAGGACGGACCGCCAACGCCCCGCCCACCGATCGGCCAGATCCAGCTCGGAGTGTGAGCCGCCATGTAGCTCTCGCCTCTGCTGCTGGATCAGACACCTGTACAGGTCTGATCCACACGGGGACAGGTGATTGGTCGACAGGCACTTCAGGAGATGACTGGGTATTTCTGCACAATGATCCAGCACCTGATGATAAAAGAAACATGTCAACATTAGAGTTCCAACATTCTTACACCAGGGCCTGAAATGAGTTGTTCAAAATGTGAATATCCTTAGAGGATATGCACAGTGTTGTAGTCAAGACCACACTAACCAGAGACCGAGCCATACCTGGGACCAGAGTGCTCCGAGACCAAGACAAGACCGAGACCAAGACATTTAGGGATCCAGACCGAGTCAAGACAAATGAAAAACCCTGATTTGTGTATTTTGAATAATGTATGGCCCAGGTTACCTTTTTTCTTCCCTTCCTTTCTTTTGTCTTGGGGGGGCGTGGGGGGGGGGTTCCTTCTAATCACAGTTATGATGGAAAAACAATAGAAAAAATAGCCCGTCAGTGGGGGTCCTTACTGGTCTTGATTCAAAATCCGGAGTCCACCCAGTCTGAGACCGAGACGAGACCTTCAAAATGTGGTCTCGAGACTACAACACTATAAGCATCCATCACACCTTATCTCTCTCTCTCTCTAGAGTTGCACTCTGTCAGGACCCTGACCCTCACCATGTCCGTCCCCAGATACGGCAGCAGTGCACACAGGCGGTGATATTTGGCTTTGGCTTCCCACGGCAGTTTGATAATCCGCTGAAGAAGAGTCACATACAGATTCTTCTCTGTGTCACAGAAGTGCTCACAGTCCAGCTCATACAGGTCGAGCAGGAGAGGGAAGGCACTGCGCACAGATTCTGCCACACCGTCCACCTGTCAGTGCACAGCAGAGTGAATGAATGGAACTTTAAGGTATGTATTTTTTATTTTTTTAACTGCGTTAACATAACGTTGTTATTTTTGACTCACTGGGCTTTCTGCGTTGGTCCAGATAATGTGAAGGAGCTCCTGCTGCAGGCTGCTGTCGTCGGGCAGAAGAGGAACGCCCGTCTTCTTCCAGATATCAGCCAAACACTCTTTAACCTTCTTCAGCCAAAGTGTCAAAACTGAAACAACATGACAACATGATGGACTGTTCAAAGCTGTGAAGCAGTACAAACATCTTGAGACGACAGTGGAATAAGATGACAACGGAAAGATGTTACAATTCTACAGTTCACTTAGCAGACGCTTTTATCCAAAGCGACAAACATGAGAGAGTAAGAACAACACAAAGCAAGGATCTAGAAAAGAGGAAACAACATCAGTTAGTGCAAACAAACAGCTCTGAGTCTCGATCGGACACACAGCTGCTGACAGGAAGTGACCAGATGCTATCATCATCATCACCATCGTTATCATCAATATCATTAAGTGTGTGGGTGTACATACAGAACTGGGGGTCTTTAGCTTTTACTTAAAGGTGCACCACCAGGGGGCGACAGAGGACAAGAGTCTCGCTAGAGACTTAGGGTCCTAGTTCAACAAAGAATGTTCTTTTATCAGCCGGCGCCACAATTCATCCTCAGGACATGCAGGACGACCAGAGTTAAGAGTGATTTTGTCCTGACTGCTATTAGACTTATAAATAGTTGTCCCCTGTATTTTATTATCATGTCTTTCTGTTGTTCCTGTGATGGTTTGTGACCGGATCATTAAGATATCCTATTCCATATTTAGTTTAGTTTAATCGTTTATTTGAATCAGGGACAGTGTACAAAAAAAACATTAGTCTCAGAAGAGAAGAGATGCTTTGTACCAGATTTAGCTAGCTAGCTAATGTTGTCAGTCGATGTTGCATTTTAAGAACATAAATGATTCAATCATCACTCACCTTCAAAGGCGAAGTAGTGACAATCCAGCTTCTCCTCACACAGAGCGTAGACCAGAGGGAACAAACCTGTCAGCAGCAGACACGTCTGAAAACAGAGACGAGATGAGAGACAGGAACAAGAAGAGAGGAGCATGTCTGTGATGTGAGCTTTTGACTGGATTTACTTCAGCGTCGTCTTCCTGCGAGCTGAGCAAGACATGAGGTCGACAGCAGGTCAGGAGGCCCCTGCAGACGACCAGCCTGTCCACTCCGTCCCTCCCTGCAGGGCCGCACTGAACCTGCAGAGCACCGACAGTCAGCAGCCAGGACTCTGAGACACAGTGAGTGGAGAGGGTGATATTTAGACGCATTTATGGAACAAGGATATAACACGCTTTACTGTCACGTTGGGGAAACTTGTCATGGACTCAAGTGCTGCAGCCTCCCTCCACAGACGCATCAGTGAATAAAAAACAATCAAAACAATCAACATGTAACAGAGAAGCACATACTGCAGCCACTATCTAATCTCCAATGTCACTTTTAGTCACCTGCAGAGGTGTTGATGCATAATCCAAACATTAAACAAATGTCCAAAATGAAAGAACTTTTGGTGACGTTCCTGTTTTGTGCAAACAATGAAGCAGATAAACCGTGATGATGATATGAAGGGATGATTGATTGCCTAGAGCAGCCTTTCCCAAACTTAAAACTGCCGCGACCCGCTTTGAAATACAAAATTACTCCGGGGCCCGTTACAAAATAAAAGTTATGACTACATCTATAACTTTCAGTTAGGATAAATTATTGGACATGACAAAATGATATTATGGGAAGATAGACACAAAAGTTTACTAAACATTACGTCCATGAATAGTCATGACACGTCTTACTAATCACTTAACCATCATTATTGTGATTTTTCTTTTATTTTTATACTTGGTGGAGGGCTTTTCGCTGCCCACCTGCAGTACTCACACAGCCACCAGGGGCACTTTGGGAAGCACTGGCCTAATTATTTATCTTCATTTATGGTAAATGGTTAAAATGCTCAGGTCCACACCTATGTAAAGTGTCTATCAGTATTAAAAATCACATTCACACACATTCATACTCCGCCGCCGAAGCAGCAGGAGCAACTTGGATGTTTTTTTGTACATCGGTACAGCGGTGTTTTAGGTCAGTGAAAACGCAACTTTTGGAAATTCCATTTGACGACCTTGTCACGTTTGTTTACATGACATTACATTTTGTTACATGTCCAAATTAAGTAAATAAATAAACATATAAACCATAACACACACTATACACACACTGAATTGGCTCCTACACTTCCATATAAAAACACAAAAATACTGCAAGACCCGCAAGTTAAATAAGACAAAAACATACAATACAAAATACAATACAAAAATAAAAAATAAAATAAAATAAAATAAAATAAAATAAAATAAAATAAAATACAAATTTCATCAACTAAGCAACTAACGAAACTAAAAGCACAAGCAGAAGGCTTTGTTAAAATGGTGGGTTTTTAGGGCCCTTTTAAAAGCGTCAGCAGACTGTGGAGCCCTCAGCTGCTCGGGGAGAGCGTTCCACAGACTGGGAGCAGAGGAGCAACACCATGACTCTGATGAAAAACAAATATGGCCTCAAGAAACATTCATCATGATGTTTTGGGAGGGAAAAACAACAGAGATGGAAATAACTAACACAGGCTTCATTTGTTCCCAAGTCACCCACACGAGCAGATTCCCTAAAGAACGTTTGAAATCAGCATTTGCTCATGCTCATGTCCCAGCAAGGTGGGAGAGCTTAACTACCTGAGTATGAGAGCTGTAGCAGACTCCAGGCTGCAGCTTCTCCTGCGCTGCTCTCTGGTGCCGTGTTGATCAGCATGGCCACAGCGGTGCCCGCCAGAAGACGAGTGTCTCTGTTGCAGCACTGCAAGACGGGACATGATGAGACTCAACAAAGGTAACAAACAGGGTCTGAAATAAATCAATCAATAAGATACCTGTCCGAGTACTATGTCCATCAGAGCCTGCAGGATCTTCTGCACATCAGGACTAACATGGTTCTTGTCCCACACCAGAGGAGCCACTTCACGGGACAGCAGCTGGAATATCTGCAAACACATCTGCAGAGACAGATCTCAGGTCAGTGAAAGAAGATCATCAAACCAGTCTGTATTGTGAATCTCTTTCTTTTAACTAGATTCTTACACCCTACTTGTTGTGTTTTATGGCTCCCCCTGTCATGTTTGTTTTAAGAACTGCCCCTGAAATCCTCCTGACCTGCTCGTTCACACACGCACGAGGGGTGCATATGTGAAATGTCTTCTCTGCACTGTTGCTCAAGGAAAACATTCCCAGTATACCCAGTCTAATCTAATGAATGCAATAACCAGTCTCCTTTAGTGTACTGCTGTTCAGGTACCTTGACAGCGACGTAGCACAGCGGTCCATCTCTCAGCGATTCTTGTTGCAACGCAGCAGGGAATAACTGAGACACTTTACTCAGCAAGGACAGGTGAGACTCTCTGCAAACCTCACGGCCAACAGTGCTGTCCTCCAGGAACATACAGGCTAGGAAAGAGTTACTGTTTATAAAGGTTCATTAAGAAATGTACACATGATAGGGATGTAACAAAAATCACCACCAATGGCTTCTAAAAAAAACAATTCATAGTTTTCTTTATAAACAGTGACACTGATAATATCTTACAAAAAAAAAGACGCCTTTTAAAGCTTTTCATTTAAAATAAGAGAGGGTCATATAGATCATATAACAACAAGCATCACACCAGATGTGCAGCCTGTGTTCCTGGTGTTCTGTCCAGATGTGCTGCCTTGTCGAAAAAATGCTTCAATAGAGTAAAACAATAGCAGACACTTTCCAGATCCCCTCTCAAATGATGCAACCAGAACAAAATAACATTACATGAACTCCCTACTCACTCTGTGTGCTTTGTCAGAGTGTAGGTGAATCTATTACTGAAGATTTCAGGGGAAGTGTATCTCAATGGACAAAAAATCTCACATCAAATACAGAACAGAATCACTTTAAAACACCACGACTCATTGCATTTACTTTAAGGAAACTGGAAGCATGTTTTTGATACTCCATAATAAAACGTTTAAGATATTAGAGGAAGCATATAGCAATAGAAGAAAAGCATCTATCAAATAATGCTCCTTGTGGTAGCACATCTCGATAGGTAGCACTATTTGATATAACACTGGCATTGATGAAAAGAGTATGGCAGTATATATATATAATATATATTTGTCAAATCGATTCAAAAGCTCTTGTGTATCCGTTTTGATGTACAGAATGATCCTTAATGATCTTATCCTTTCAGCGCCACAGATCTTTTATTTGACTCATCATTCTCGTGTTTTTATTCCTTATTCAGTCTGTCTAATATAAGTGTCTCCTTTAGGTCTTATCCATACACAACTTATAATATCAAAACATCAACTTCAGCTGGTACCGACCTCTCTGCAGATCCTCCAAAGACAACATCTGGAAAGAAGACACATTATCTGTAGAGCCTTTGTGCAAAAATAAATCAGAAATCAAAGAGATGTAAGAGCTCTTTACCTGCTCAGCGTGGATTATTCTCTGTAAGCAGAGCTGCGTTTCTCCTAAAACAACGCTGAGGTTCACCTTCGACAACTGCTGCAACATCTGTCAAACAAACATCAAGTTTTGAGAGAATGCCCTTTGTGTTTTAAAGGGGTGTGCAGAAAGCAGACATGCTGTGAGGCCTCACCTGGTCCACTTTACGACAGGCTGTGGAGATGTTGACCATCTGCAGCTGCAGGGAGAGCAGCAGTCTGACCAGAAGCAGGAGGTGACTCTCCTCCTCCAACAGGTGAAGCTGCTCCTCTGAGATGTGTCTCAGCAGCTGCACAGCCTCCTCTAAACAGCGCTCCTTGCACCTTTTCACATTGTTCCTGTGCATGCAACAGTCACCTTACAGTATTATAAATACAGTGTGAGTGTTTACAGGACATGCTGAGGGTAAAGGCACCAACCTGGAGGCTTCAGACAGTTTATCAGTGAACAGCCGGAGTGTTTGGGAGACCTGTTCAGGTGTTTGATCCTCGGCGATCACGCAGCCCTGGAAACGAGTCACGAGCTCTTCAAACGACAACATGTTCAGGTAACTCCACTGATCACACTTCAGGTGTTGACACAGACACCGGCAGCACGCTGGCCCACAGGACGTACTTCTTCTTCTGCTACTCTTTACCAGTCGTTGTCATTCAGTTTTTGTGATATGCTGCCATCTAGCGGCAGATTTTCAAACGTTTTATTTTTACATTTTTATGTTTTTTTTTTATATTTGTATCGAAATGTATTTAATTTGAGAATCATTATTGTAGTATTTAATTATCATTACTATTTAAAACAGGTATATATTTACCCAATTAACAAAATAGACAACAAATAGAGCAGGAAGAGGCAGAAAACTCCAAGAGCTTATTTAGAGGCTCCACCTAAATACTGATAAAATATCACCAAATGAAAAAAAACATGATTAAGATGCAGAAAAAAATAAGTAAACACATTACGTTTTAGCTAAATACATTCTAATTAGTTTAATTAATTAAATCCCTACAATTAAACAATTGTTAATAATGATAATAATAATAATAATAATAACTTTATTTATATAGCAGCTTTTAAAAACACAGGTTTAAAACACAAGTGCTTTGACAAACAGCAAAAACAAGAACAAACTAAACCAAACACAGAAGAACAACAACAAGAACAAACTAAACCAAACACAGAAGAACATAAACAACAACAAGAACAAACTAAACCAAACACAGAAGAACATAAACAAAAACAAACAAACTAAACCAAACACAGAAGAACATAAACAAAAACAAGAACAAACTAAACCAAACACAGAAGAACATAAACAACAACAAGAACAAACTAAAGCAAACACAGAAGAACATAAACAAAAACAAACAAACTAAAGCAAACACAGAAGAACATAAACAAAAACAAGAACAAACTAAACCAAACACAGAAGAACATCAACAAAAACAAGAACAAACTAAACCAAACACAGAAGAACATAAACAAAAACAAGAACAAACTAAACCAAACACAGAAGAACATAAACAAAAACAAGAACAAACTAAACCAAACACAGAAGAACATAAACAACAACAAGAACAAACTAAACCAAACACAGAAGAACATAAACAACAACAAGAACAAACTAAAGCAAACACAGAAGAACATAAACAAAAACAAGAACAAACTAAAGCAAACACAGAAGAACATAAACAAAAACAAACAAACTAAACCAAACACAGAAGAACATAAACAAAAACAAGAACAAACTAAACCAAACACAGAAGAACATAAACAACAACAAGAACAAACTAAACCAAACACAGAAGAACATAAACAACAACAAGAACAAACTAAACCAAACACAGAAGAACATAAACAAAAACAAACAAACTAAACCAAACACAGAAGAACATAAACAAAAACAAGAACAAACTAAACCAAACACAGAAGAACATAAACAACAACAAGAACAAACTAAAGCAAACACAGAAGAACATAAACAAAAACAAACAAACTAAAGCAAACACAGAAGAACATAAACAAAAACAAGAACAAACTAAACCAAACACAGAAGAACATCAACAAAAACAAGAACAAACTAAACCAAACACAGAAGAACATAAACAAAAACAAGAACAAACTAAACCAAACACAGAAGAACATAAACAAAAACAAGAACAAACTAAACCAAACACAGAAGAACATAAACAACAACAAACAAACTAAAGCAAACACAGAAGAACATAAACAAAAACAAGAACAAACTAAAGCAAACACAGAAGAACATAAACAAAAACAAACAAACTAAAGCAAACACAGAAGAACATAAACAAAAACAAGAACAAACTAAACCAAACAAAGAAGAACATAAACAAAAACAAGAACAAACTAAACCAAACACAGAAGAACATAAACAAAAACAAGAACAAACTAAACCAAACACAGAAGAACATAAACAACAAGAACAAACTAAACCAAACACAGAAGAACATAAACAACAACAAGAACAAACTAAACCAAACACAGAAGAACATAAACAACAACAAGAACAAACTAAACCAAACACAGAAGAACATAAACAACAACAAGAACAAACTAAACCAAACACAGAAGAACATCAACAAAACAAGAACAAACTAAACCAAACACAGAAGAACATAAACAACAAGAACAAACTAAACCAAACACAGAAGAACATAAACAAAAACAAGAACAAACTAAAGCAAACACAGAAGAACATAAACAACAACAAGAACAAACTAAACCAAACACAGAAGAACATAAACAACAACAAGAACAAACTAAACCAAACACAGAAGAACATAAACAACAACAAGAACAAACTAAAGCAAACACAGAAGAACATAAACAACAACAAGAACAAACTAAACCAAACACAGAAGAACATAAACAACAACAAGAACAAACTAAACCAAACACAGAAGAACATAAACAAAAACAAACAAACTAAACCAAACACAGAAGAACATAAACAAAAACAAGAACAAACTAAACCAAACAAAGAAGAACATAAACAACAACAAGAACAAACTAAACCAAACACAGAAGAACATAAACAAAAACAAGAACAAACTAAAGCAAACACAGAAGAACATAAACAAAAACAAACAAACTAAAGCAAACACAGAAGAACATAAACAAAAACAAGAACAAACTAAACCAAACAAAGAAGAACATAAACAAAAACAAGAACAAACTAAACCAAACACAGAAGAACATAAACAAAAACAAGAACAAACTAAACCAAACACAGAAGAACATAAACAACAACAAGAACAAACTAAACCAAACACAGAAGAACATAAACAACAACAAGAACAAACTAAACCAAACACAGAAGAACATAAACAACAACAAGAACAAACTAAACCAAACACAGAAGAACATAAACAACAACAAGAACAAACTAAACCAAACACAGAAGAACATCAACAAAAACAAGAACAAACTAAACCAAACACAGAAGAACATAAACAACAAGAACAAACTAAACCAAACACAGAAGAACATAAACAAAAACAAGAACAAACTAAACCAAACACAGAAGAACATAAACAACAACAAGAACAAACTAAACCAAACACAGAAGAACATAAACAACAACAAGAACAAACTAAACCAAACACAGAAGAACATAAACAACAACAAGAACAAACTAAACCAAACACAGAAGAACATAAACAAATGTAAAATACTCAAAATAATTAAATACAATTCAACAGAAAAGAACCCAAAGTGCACGATACCCAACAGACATATATAACCAGAACATCATAACAACCATCATAAGAACCATCATAAGAACCATCATAAGGACCATCACAAGAACCATCATAAGGACCATCACAAGAACCATCACAAGAACCATCACAAGAACCATCACAAGAACCATCATAAGAACCCAGGCAACACAAGAACCATCATAAGAACCATCACAAGAACCATCATAAGAACCATCATAAGAACCATCACAAGAACCATCACAAGAACCATCACAAGAACCATCACAAGAACCCAGGCAACACAAGAACCATCATAAGAACCATCACAAGAACCATCATAAGAACCATCATAAGAACCATCACAAGAACCATCATAAGAACCCAGGCAACACAAGAACCATCATAAGAACCATCATAAGAACCATCACAAGAACCATCATAAGAACCCAGGCAACACAAGAACCATCATAAGAACCATCACAAGAACCATCATAAGGACCATCATAAGGACCATCACAAGAACCATCATAAGGACCATCACAAGAACCATCACAAGAACCATCACAAGAACCATCACAAGAACCATCATAAGAACCATCACAAGAACCATCATAAGAACCCAGGCAACACAAGAACCATCATAAGAACCATCACAAGAACCATCATAAGAACCATCATAAGAACCATCACAAGAACCATCACAAGAACCATCACAAGAACCATCACAAGAACCCAGGCAACACAAGAACCATCATAAGAACCATCACAAGAACCATCATAAGAACCATCATAAGAACCATCACAAGAACCATCATAAGAACCCAGGCAACACAAGAACCATCATAAGAACCATCATAAGAACCATCACAAGAACCATCATAAGAACCCAGGCAACACAAAACCATCATAAGAACCATCACAAGAACCATCATAAGGACCATCATAAGGACCATCACAAGAACCATCATAAGGACCATCACAAGAACCATCACAAGAACCATCACAAGAACCATCACAAGAACCATCATAAGAACCCAGGCAACACAAGAACCATCATAAGAACCATCACAAGAACCATCATAAGAACCATCATAAGAACCATCACAAGAACCATCATAAGAACCCAGGCAACACAAGAACCCAACAACACGAGCTGAGACCAAGAGGACCAAAGATTTAAAAAGATGTAAGAAACTAAAAGAGCTAAAAGTAAATCAAAAGATAACAGCAATAAGAAGGTAAGAGCAGGAAGAGAAATAGAAACAAGTGGTTAAAGGATCAAAAAATATATATACTGGTAAGAATTTAACATTCTTGGAAGAGTATTAAAAAGTTAGTCTGGTATCTGGAGAAGTGCCAGGTCATTTCCTGAGTACTGCTGAGGAGCCCTTGAGCCAGGCGCTGTGCAGACCCCCACTCTGACATCTCTCTGTTACAGCATGTCCACAGGTCCTGTTTGTGTATTTCGGGCCCATGTGTGTGAGAAGCAAGTCTCTCAATAACAGAGTGTAAACCAGAATTCCCCCTCAGGGATAAAGAATGTAATAATAATAAAAAATAAACCGCACTTGCAGTTACCACTCCCGGCCACTAGAGGCCTCTCTCCCACACGTCGGTTTCACGCTGGTCGCAGAGTAAGAAGTCTGCGTTGCCATCACAACGGTTTAAGAATATGTCGCCCTCCTAAACTGAAGCGAAACAAATGGCTAACGCGGTTGAAATGATCGTTTTCAACTTAGTTTCTCATCATGTAACGTGGTTTTTATTGTGTATGTCTCCGGCTGCCACTCAGAACACAGTTGGTAAGACCTTTACAGAACTTATTATACCAGTTTAACTTTAAATAGCTACCCGTAAGCAGTCATAGCTAATGCTAAAGAGCTAGCCGGTCGTGTCAGCTGAGTTATCTATGTATTTAAAGTTTGATGGTGCTGAAATGTTGATGTTGTTGTTGAATAGTTTTCCAGCCGTCGTTTCTCTCAACAACTGGACCTTCAGTCTCTGCGGTGCTGCTCGGAAACACGGCGGACATCTCTGTGTATGTGAGGACAGTCTCCCCCTCTAATACCACAGGTGAAGGTGTCATGATGCTTCTCATGGTATTAAAAGTGTATTACAGACTCAGAGAGGAGAGAATAGGAGAGGAGAGGAGAGAATAGGAGAGGAGAGGAGAGGAGATAATAGGAGAGGAGAGGAGAGGAGAGGAGAGGAGATAATAGGAGAGGAGAGGAGAGGAGAGGAGAGGAGAGAAGAGGAGAGGAGAGGAGAGGAGATAAGAGGAGAGGAGAGGAGAGGAGAGGAGAGGAGAGGAGATAATAGGAGAGGAGAGAGAGAGGAGAGGAGATAATAGGAGAGGAGAGGAGAGGAGATAAGAGGAGAGGAGAGGAGAGGAGAGGAGAGGAGAGGAGATAATAGGAGAGGAGAGGAGAGGAGAGGAGAGGAGATAATAGGAGAGGAGAGGAGAGGAGAGGAGAGGAGATAATAGGAGAGGAGAGGAGAGGAGATAAGAGGAGAGGAGAGGAGAGGAGATAATAGAATAGAACAGAATTACTTTATTGATCCTAAACTGGGAAATTGTGTCGTTACAGCAGCAGGTTGTCCAAACACACAATATGAGTAAAAAACACAATGTTAGAAAATCTAAACATAATATAATATTAAATACAAAGTAAATAAGTACTAAAAATATCAAAACTAAAAATGAGAATATATACAACCAGGATTTAACTAAACATTACTAGTCTTAAATAGGAAGATTAAATGTAAATGTGTAAAAACAGAGTAGTAAATGGACAGTAATGACATAAGTTAAAGAGCATGAGTGTAGACATGTTATCAGCAGAAACTATTCAATATAATGGAGAGTAGACAGACAAATGAAGTGAACATGAGTGCAGGGATAATTTCTAAATTTAACATGTGCAGAACAGATGACAGTAAGGAGAGACAGATATTATCATGATGACAGTTCTCTGCTCGCATGAGGTGAGCTGTTGTACAGAGTTATGGCCTTCGGTAGGAAAGATTGTATCTGTCCTTGTGACAGCAGAGTTGTATCAGTCTGTTGGAGAAGCTGCTCCGCTGTTTGTCCAGTAGGGTGTGCAGAGGGTGATCAGGATTATCCATAATGGATAACAGTTTGTTCAGAGTCCTCCTCTCTGTATTACAGACTCAGGGACCAGATAAGACAATACACGAGATATAAAAACAAAACATTAGAAAAACACACAACATAAATTCAATGCATGGGGGTGCTGGTGGCCTAGTGTTTGTGCGCCCCATGTACAGAGGCTCATTCTCTACTCTCTCTCTCTCTCTCTCTCTCTCTCTCTCTCTCTCTTGCTGTCCTGCCAAAATAAATCTAGAAAAATACAATGCATGGAATAAAATCACTAAATAAATACAAACAATGCCCTCAGACGATGCAACTGTACCAGTACTGCCATATCTTGGATTGTTAACGAGTAGTGCTGCACTTGTTGAGTGTCAAGGCCAGGGTGATTTCATGTAGGGAGTTATTAATGGGACAGGAGCAGGATCCAATAATCAGCTGGAAGACAGAACTAAAAAGACATCACGTAGCCTCAGAAACCACACACACCCTTTTCAATCTGTACAGTGTAGTGTAAACTGTTGTTTCTCTCTGTGCTGTCACCATGTGTTGATTGCTGTCAAACCTGCAGGGTGCTGTGAAGAAGAGTTTGCCCTTGCCCTTTTTTTTTTTTTACTTTACTTTTTTACTTTCACAGAGGAAAGTTGTCCAGAAATCATTGTCAAGAGGAGTATACCAGGCTCCGAAAACAAGGGATGAAAAGCAGAAATGTGGCCAAGATTGAGTTTTATTTTGTTGTAATTTCTGAAATAGTTTGTTAAGGTTTGTTTTTCTCTCACAGGAAGCATTGGTCCGCCATCATGTGTATCCGATGAAACACAATGGGTGCTCACAACGGAGCAGGTGGGAAAGGTAAGAAGCACATCATACAGTGAGTATTGAGAATGCTCAAGTTAGGGGGGGCAGTAGCTTTGTCTGTAGGGACCTGGGTTGGAACCAGAGCGTCGCTGGCTGAAGTGCCGGTGTGGTGCAAAGTTTGGAAGTTGGTCTTGTTGCTGGAGAGGTGCCAGGTCACTTCCTGAGCTGCCCTTGAGCAAGGCCCCGCACCCTCAACAGCTGGCGCGCTTCCTGTGCAGAATCCCCACTCTGACATCTCTCCATTAATGCATGTTTGTGCATTGTGTGTGTGAAGCATGTCTCTCAATAACAGAGTGTAAAAAATAACTTCCACGCAGGATTCATAAAGTATGTCAAAAAAAAAAATCTGCCGTTAAGTTTATATCATTTTTATTACACAATTAATAACCAAGTGATCCAGATAACTTGAGTTAAAGTTACGATCATTGATCAAGGTTTGTCAAAGTGTGAAAAACATTTTGAGAAAACGGCTCTCTAGGTTTAGGAGATACTCAAAGTCAAATGGCATAATGAATCTCAGGACGTTGGATGTAGTGAGAGCCAAGAGAGCGGCTGTGAGGTGTAAAAGGGGCTTCAACTGGGCAGGGAGAGAGGCTGTGAATGAAGTGGAGACATCACTGTACTCACAGGAGAGTTTAAATCCGCACACGGCTGCACAATCTTGGAGGCCAGCGGCCCCGAAAAATAGTAAATGTGCACGTCTCTTTTCCAGCACGTTTACTTGAAAGTAACATTCATGTGTATGTGGAGTTGTGCATGTTATACAGCAGGGTACGTTTGGCACAATGTGGTTTCTCTGATGCTTTGTGTGAAATCACACAATTAGCAGAGAGTTAGAGAAGTTAGCTGAATCTTGATTCTGCTCAGGCTTGTTTGTTCCTGTAGACTCATATGAACCTTTTTGATGATCTCCACTGGCTTATGTGAAGGTCATATTTTTCATCTCACGTAGATCCAAACTTATTTTCCCAATAATTTACCTAAAAAAATAAATAATCTACCTTTCCTGTGTTGCCTTAGACTGCAGTTCAGATTGAGCTGAGACTGGACAGAAGTCTGAGCTTGTGTGGGGAGAATGACACAGAAACAGACTGCTGTCCAACGCCGCTGTGTGTCCTGGAGACCCTGCAGGTGTCTGCGTGTGTCGGCAGCAAACCTCAGGCATCACTGCTGATCCAGGCCAGGATACATGCCCTGCTGCTCCCTGCTGATGCTGCATCTGGTACCTCAAATGAAACTCACATCACACCTGAAACAGCCTTCATGTAAATGTCACTCGTAAATATAATTCTCTTTCCTGTTTCAGATAATAACACGGTCATTCCTAACCAAGTGTACCAACCCCTGGGCTCGTGTCCCTGTGACCTCACATTCAGAGCATGTGATGTACGCTGCTGCTGTGACAAGGTATTTACATCTGTTATACTAAGACGTTCTTTAAGAAGGAAACAGTTGAGGAAGGTGTTTGTTCTTCTTCCCACACAGGAGTGTTCCAGTGAAGATCTGGAGCTGTTTGCGTCTCACTGTCTTCCTGGACCTTTTGGTGGACAGATGATTACTGATCCAGACTATCAGTGCTCTGTGCAGTCCTCTGACAACTCCCCAGACTGGTTTCCATTTTTATGTGTCAATTCTCCGCCTGAAAACAACCCTTACCTCGGGCTCTTTTACCTGGGAGACACAATGTGAGAAACTATTTACTGTATCCGTGGTTCCCAACCTTTTATGGGGTTGTGACACCACTTTGATTCACAAAACTCTGGCGACCACAGACATCCCAACACATAATCAAAATCAGAACCTATGAGCCAATGAGGGGCCGATAGCCTAACGTACTTTCGTAATTGATGCGGGTTTAATTTGAAATTGTTTATTTAAAAAAAAAAAAAGCCTCTGTTTGTCTCTATACATTTATCTGAAATAACTTGAATGCAAACAAAAAACAGGCTAAATGTTCAGTCCACAGTACACTCAACAACGGCAGTCAAAAACCTGTGTGTCCTTCCTCTACTTTTACCTTCACCATAGTGAGTATGCCACCTACTGGGACAACAAGGAATTACAACAGAGAACACAAAAATGGTTCTCAAAACCACATTTAAGCTTTTAGGTGTATTTTATTGTGGACGGAGGACGAGAGGCTGGAATGACATTTCTGCACAATGGATGACAGACGGAGACTCTGCAAGTTTCTGATTGGCCACAATATATTTTAAAACACAATAACTCTACCTCATATATATTAACCATCTGTTACATAACTATATATTTATTATCATTATCATATCAGCATTTTTTTTGCACTACTCACCACTGCACTATTGTCTTATTTATCCTTGTATAAGTGTTTTTTTTTGCTTATATTATGTTTAATATTTAACTTTGTACATTGAGAGCAAAGTTTCTGAAGACAAATTCTGTGTGTGTGTGTGTGTGTGTGTGTGTGTGTGTAAGCATACATGGCCAATAAAGCTGATTCTATTCTATTCTTTTTTACTCTACAATATATCTGTTATTGATCAACACGTGGGGTCGACGCCCAGAGGTTGGGAAATCCTGGAATATATATTGTTGATTTATTGAATTCAATTGTTTCTTTATGTTTGACATTCACTTTAATTATCTTCTGCCCTTGAACTCGTCTAGCCCGTCTGAGCCTGCTCCATCCTTCCAAATGCCTCCCATGTCAGCTCCAGTACCAGTCATTGAATATATTCAAGGAAGTCCAATTTTCACAATGACGGAGCAGTTCTTCACTATCCCCCGGGTGAGTCCTGTTTTAAGACAGTCTAATCATTACAGGTTGCTTTTGTGTGTGTGTTGTAAAAACTCTGATAAATAATGATTTTTATATGTTTTATTCCACAGATGGTGCTCGGGCGTTGTGTAAACAATGCTCCTGTAGCATTTTTGAACAACTTTGCAGTCGAGTGTGTAACTCCGCTACAATCCTGTCCAACTGGAGCTCCATTACAAACACTACCTGAGGATTTGAGGATTCAAGTGAAGAATGGCCAAGGAGGTTTGTTTTACCTGCACATAAACTTTTTTTATGATTAGACATGCGTTGGAGCTCTTTGACTAACTGTGTTTGATTTTTTTTTTTTTGTGGATGCATTGCAGGCGATGTTATGGTGGATGTTACTGAAGAAGTGGCCGCTGACTTGAGTCCGTTTATTTCCAGCACACATGCTGTTGCCTCTTCAGGTATGTCTATAGTACAACAGCATTACTTCTAAAAAACAACTTGAACTACTGAGAGTAAACCTTAATGTGTTTGATATCTAAAGATCAGAGTCTGGAATGTGAGAATGTGACCTTAGCCCTGGATTACAAATTCTACTGGAAAGAAAACGCATCACAGACATCACACTGACGCACACTGTTGGTACCATCACATTAAACAGAAGTGGTAAGTGTCATTTATACTTGAGTCAACCTGATTTGGCTTTTTACTAGTTATAGTTTAAAGAACGTTTGGGCTAATCTATTTCTGTTCTGTCTCCTGAAAAGTGACTTTAACGACAAGATATTCTGCTGAGTTCCTAAATGGAGAATTTCCCGGTGAGGCCAATTCAGGGAACCCAGGTGAGAGCAAGAGAAAACACAAAACAATCAAAGAACCTGTCAATAAAACAGCTCACAATCATTTGACATGTCAGGTTATCAGGTGGGAAGACCCGTCATTGCTGGAGTTGTGGACTTGCTGGAAAACACTACAGGCTCAATCCAAAGAATGTCAATCAGTCTTTGGAAACCAGGTAAACCAGTTTAGGCATTCTGTTGAATTTCAGCTTACTGCATGTACAAGTAGGATAAAAGTCACAGCGCTGTTTTCCTCCGGCTTACAGTAAGCGATGGACTGTGTTCCACTGCGGAGAAGAAACCGGTTCTGTTTGGAGAGAATTCCACATCAGGATGTTTGCTACCTGTGAGCCGGCAGAATCTGACTGAGTGTGATCTCCTGAGGTCGGTAGCTCAGCATGTGTTCATGTTTGATATTCCTCTTAAGCCTTTTTTCACAGATGCAACATTTCAGGACAGGCTGCCCTGAACTCTTCCTGACTTTCCTGTTCATGTATTACCCTCTAAACGGGAGATTTCACTGTTGGATGAAAGGGTGGGAGGAGGCAGAACATGACACAAAAAAGGACATAAGGCAGTAATGGTGGACGAGGCAACAGCATCCGACGCTATAATGAAAGTTTATAACCTTTATATAAGGGCGGCAGTAGCTCAGTGTGTAGGGACTTGGGTTGGGAACCGGAGGGTCACCGATTCAAGTACCAAATCTGGAAATTGGTCTGTTAACTGGAGAGGCTGTTTGTGCATGTGTGTGTATTGCAGCCTCTGTGTGTGTAGCATGACTCGATAACATTGTGTAAAATAGAATTTCCCCTCGCAGGATTGGTAAAGTATATCTTCAGTGGTAAATGAACAAACTGTCGTGCGGTAAAGGATATGATGAAGCAGCCTCACTATACGTGCACGGCGATAGCAACAATCTCTCACCAGTTGGATGATTTAAATGTCATCATCCCCGCCTGCTCGCTTGCAGCAAGTTTGGCAGGAAAAACTTGGGGAGAAAAAATTGAGCTCACACTTGCAGCTCTTCCTGAAAACTGAGAATTTTTTTAAGGAACTGCATCTGTGGAAATGCTGTTAATGTAAAAGTGCTGAGGTTAAAATGTAATGCTTCTTTTCTCCTTTAGAGAGACTGTTTCTTCTCTTCAGGCAGCTTTGGTCTCAGCCACATATGTAGCCAGGAGTGGAAACCCTGATCCTCTCCTGTTGACAGACTGGCTGAATATAAGCTGTAAGTAAATGATGCACAAAAAGAACTCATGCAAAGTTTATTTCTGCACTTCACTTCACTATAAAGTCTTTTCTTCTTTTTTACTAACTGAATGTGACAATATTTAATTTCCAGTTGTGACAGTGAACTCGAACACAACAATGGAAGACAGCCCGGGTTCGTGCAACAGGATTCCCTCCCACCAGCACGTACAAGTTTGGAGTCTTATCACAGGCATGGTAGACGGCACACCACAAAGAGATATCCTTGATTTGCAAGTCAGGTGTGCATCCTTGTTTCAGTTATGAAGTTTAAATAGTTTTCTCCATTAAGGAGGTGCTGTTGCGTTTTTGAAGTCTCCATATTTCTCTACAAATGTTGTACCTGATTGTGATTAATTATAGAAAACACTTTTGGTCATTTTAGTTTAAGCCTATCGTCCTGGACACTGGATTGCGGAGGAGGGGATATCTCTCCATGTGTGGACCCTTTGAAGACGCAGTTGTTCCCCATCACCTCCTCAGTCACCTTTATAGACATCCCCATCAACACAGGACCCCCAAAAACCAGGTGCATCCTCAAACAGCAAGTCCACCCTCGTGAATGACTTCATGTACGAGCTGCCTGACTGATTCTAACCTTTGATCCTTTTTTTTTTGTTTTTGACTCCACCTTCTCCCAAACAGGTTTCAGATTAACTTCACAGAGTACGACTGTAACAGGAATGACGTGTGTTGGCCTGAGCTCGCCTTCCCCATCACCAAGTTTTACACAGGTGGAAATGTATCCATTCCTTTGAAATGTTCCACTTAATCAATCAAAGCTAAAAACAAAAGCACAGGTATTTAAAAATGACAGCCACTGACTCCTTTTCGATTTGTCCTCCACAGGTGAGCCGTATTCCCAGTCACTGGCGAAGGGCCTTATCTTGGTTTTCTTCTTTATCACGGCCTCGATTCTTGGGACGCCATGGAGACAACTTCGACAAGCGTGGAGCTGATCCCCTCTCTAAGCCTCTCTAAACCTTAATGATGTTTGTTATTTATTTGTGGGAATGTAAATACTGAAGTGAAGCATTTTGTAATAAAGATACTTTTTTATGACTTTATTTATGACTCAGTTCCTGAACAGTGTCATAACCCGGCTCTAGGTCAAGACAAATATGGGAAGGACACAAGTTAACATGCAGTGTGACCTTCAGTTAAGTCAGTAGTTGAATGTGGAGGTGAGGCCTAATGAAGGGTGGGATGTTGTGAATCAAAACAGGACAAAGACTGACGTGTAAATGATGGTTGGGATGAGTCCGGGAGTCTAAGTTGAAATGTCAAGAATGAAGTCGAAATGCTGAGGGAAATAAAGTTGAAATGTCGAGAATAAAGTTAAAATACAGTTTTGAGAATTGAGCCAAAAATGCTGGGAATAAAGTCTTAGAATTATGTCAAAATGCAGAGGGAAAAAAAGTGTGGATGTCTAGACAAAATGTGAAACGTTTCAATTACAGTGGGAAACCTTCCTGAGGGCGCCCTATCTGACAGCCCTACCAAGTATGACTTACATTTCTACTGTGAACACGTTTGACAATGAAAGTCACTGTAGGAAAATGAAGAGGAATTTTATGGTTAGGTTACTTATAACAGAGATGAACGCTGGTTGGAGGGGCCCCCTGTACATTTTTGCCGAGGGCCACACCAGACTCGCCACTAGAACCCCTGCACATATAATATAATAATAATAATAATAATAATAACTTTATTTATATAGCACCTTCTAAAAACACAGGTTTAGAAAGTGCTTTGACAAACAGCAAAAACAAGAACAAACTAAACCAAACACAGAAGAACATAAACAAAAACAAACAAACTAAACCAAACACAGAAGAACATAAACAACAACAAGAACAAACTAAACCAAACACAGAAGAACATAAACAAAAAACAAGAACAAACTAAACCAAACACAGAAGAACATAAACAAGAAAAGAACAAACTAAAGCAAACACAGAAGAACATAAACAAAAACAAGAACAAACTAAACCAAACACAGAAGAACATAAACAACAACAAGAACAAACTAAACCAAACACAGAAGAACATAAACAACAACAAGAACAAACTAAACCAAACACAGAAGAACATAAACAAAAACAAGAAAATAACAAATGCAAAATACTCAAAATAATTAAATACAATTCAACAGAAAAGAACCCAAAGTGCACGATACCCAACAGACATATAGAACCCGACCATCATAAGAACCATCATAAGAACCATCACAAGAACCATCACAAGAACCATCATAAGAACCATCACAAGAACCATCACAAGAACCATCATAAGAACCATCACAAGAACCATCACAAGAACCATCACAAGAACCATCATAAGAACCATCACAAGAACCATCACAAGAACCATCATAAGAACCCAGGCAACACAAGAACCATCACAAGAACCATCATAAGAACCATCACAAGAACCATCACAAGAACCATCACAAGAACCATCATAAGAACCATCACAAGAACCCAGGCAACACAAGAACCATCACAAGAACCATCATAAGAACCATCACAAGAACCATCACAAGAACCATCACAAGAACCATCATAAGAACCATCATAAGAACCATCACAAGAACCATCACAAGAACCATCATAAGAACCATCATAAGAACCATCACAAGAACCCAGGCAACACAAAACCATCACAAGAACCATCATAAGAACCATCACAAGAACATCACAAGAACCATCATAAGAACCATCACAAGAACCATCACAAGAACCATCATAAGAACCATCACAAGAACCCATCACAAGAACCATCACAAGAACCCAGGCAACACAAGAACCATCATAAGAACCATCACAAGAACCATCATAAGAACCATCACAAGAACCATCACAAGAACCATCACAAGAACCCAGGCAACACAAGAACCATCATAAGAACCATCACAAGAACATCACAAGAACCATCATAAGAACCTCACAAGAACATCACAAGAACCATCATAAGAACCATCATCAAGAACCATCACAAGAACATCACAAGAACCATCATAAGAACCATCATAAGAACCATCACAAGAACCATCATAAGAACCATCACAAGAACCATCACAACAACCATCACAAGAACCATCATAAGAACCATCATAAGAACCATCACAAGAACCATCATAAGAACCATCACAAGAACCATCACAACAACCATCACAAGAACCATCACAAGAACCATCATAAGAACCATCACAAGAACCATCACAAGACATCACAAGAACCATCATAAAGAACCATCATAAGAACCATCACAAGAACCATCATAAGAACCATCACAAGAACCATCACAACAACCATCACAAGAACCATCACAAGAACCATCATAAGAACCATCACAAGA